ATTCATGATAAAAACTCTCAGTAAACTGGGAATACAGAGGAACTTCCTCAACTTGATAAGGGGAATCTTTTAAAAAGATTCCTACAGTTAGTATAATGATACTAAATAGTGAAATGCTGAGCACTTTCCCCTGAGATCGAGAACAAAGCAAAGATGTCTACTCTCACCATGCCTATCCAACATTGTACTGGAAGTCCTAGCCAGTGCAATAAGACATGTAAAATAAATAAAAGGCATACATGTTGTAAAGGAAGAAATAAAAATGTCCCAATTTGCGGACAACATAATAGCCCATATAGAAAAGCCCAAGAAATCTACAAAAAAACTCATGGAACGAAAGGTCACAGGATATAAGATCAGCAGAAAAATAATCAATCGTATTTCTATGTATTAGCAATCATCAAATGGAGATTTAAATTTAAAACAACACCATTTATAATTGCTCCCCCCAAATTAAATACTCAGGTATAAATCTACTAAAACATGTACATGATGTATATACTTAAAACCGCAAATGCTGGTGAAAGAAATCAAAGAAGACCTAAATAAATAGAGGCATACTGTTTCATGAATTAGAAAATGCAACTTAGTAATAACTATTTTGCTTAAACTGATCTATAGATTTAATGCAATTCCAATCAATATCTCAGCAGAATTTTTTGTAGACATAGACAAGCTGATCCTAAAATTTATTCAAAAGGTAAAGGAACTGGAAGAGCTAAAACAATTTTGGAGACAGAAGTTGGAAGAATCATATTACCCTATTTTAAGATTTACAGTATCCAATACAGTGTGGTATTGGCAAAGGTCCAGACCCATAAATTAAATAGTCCAGAAATAGACCCACACAAATATGGCCAATCGATTTTTTTTACAAAAGTGAAAAAGCAATTAAATGGGGAGAAAATCGTCTTTTCAAAAACTGGTGTTAGAACAATTGGACATCTATATGCCAAAAAGAAAACCTTGACCTAAATCTCAACTTTGTACAAAAAAAACTTCAAAAATACCTAAATGTAAATCATAAATCTATAAAACATTTACATGATCTGTAACATAGGAGAAAATATTTGTGACCTAAAATTAGGAAAGTTATTAGACGTGATGCCAAAAGCATGTTCCATTAAAAAAATAAATTAGACTCCACCAAAATGTAAAACATTTGCTCAGCAAAAGACATTATTAAAAGAATGAAAATGCAAACACAGACTGGGAGAAAATATTTGCAAATTACATGTCCAGCGAAGGACTTGTATCTATGACGTAGAAAGAGCTCACAAAGTTCAATAATAAGAAACAAAACCCAATTTTTAAAACGGCCAGAAGATTCGAACAGATACTTTATCAAAGAGGATATATGAATGAAAAATAACCATATGAAAAGATGCTTCTCACTATTTTTCATCATGGAAATGTAAATTAAAATACAATGAAATATAATTTTATATCCACCAGATTGTAAATATAAATAAAAGATTACAAAAAGTTTGGAGACAGAAGTTGGAAGAATCATATTACCCTATTTTAAGATTTACAGTATCCAATACAGTGTGGTATTGGCAAAGGTCCAGACCCATAAATTAAATAGTCCAGAAATAGACCCACACAAATATGGCCAATCGATTTTTTTTACAAAAGTGAAAAAGCAATTAAATGGGGAGAAAATCGTCTTTTCAAAAACTGGTGTTAGAACAATTGGACATCTATATGCCAAAAAGAAAACCTTGACCTAAATCTCAACTTTGTACAAAAAAAACTTCAAAAATACCTAAATGTAAATCATAAATCTATAAAACATTTACATGATCTGTAACATAGGAGAAAATATTTGTGACCTAAAATTAGGAAAGTTATTAGACGTGATGCCAAAAGCATGTTCCATTAAAAAAATAAATTAGACTCCACCAAAATGTAAAACATTTGCTCAGCAAAAGACATTATTAAAAGAATGAAAATGCAAACACAGACTGGGAGAAAATATTTGCAAATTACATGTCCAACAAAGGACTTGCATTCAGAATATATAAAGAATTCTCAGAACTCAAATGTAAGGAACAACCCAATTTAAAATATAGGCAAAAGACTCGAAGAGACACTTCAGGGGAGAAGGTACACAAGTGACAAATAAGCACATTAAAAGATGTTCTACATCATTAGCCTTTGGGGAAATGCAAATTAAAACCACATTGAAATACCATACATACCTTTTATAATGGCTTTAAAAAAAAAACTAATAATACCAAGTGCTAGAGAAGTTGCAAAACAATTGGATTACATTGTTGATGAGAAAGCAAAATGGCACAGCCACTCTAGAAAACAGTTGGCTAGTTCCACATAAAGTTATATTTATTTATATAGAACCTAGAAATCCCACTTCTGTGTATATACCCTAGGAATAAACACGTTTACTCAAAAACTTGTACCAGAATGTTTATAGCAGCTCTACTCATAATTGAAAAAAAGGTGAGGGGAACAACCTAAATATATTTTGGCATATAGACTGTGAATGATATGATAGAATACTACTCAACAACAAAAAAGAACAAACTACTGATAAGTGCAACAATATGGATGAATCTCAAAATCATCATGCTGAGCAAAAGAAGCCAGACACAAAAGAGTACATTTTGCATAATTCCATTTATTAGAAATTCTAGAAAAAGCAAAACTAATTTATAGTGACGGAGAGCAGATCAGTGTTTGTCGAGATTGGCAGGTGGGAGCTCTTTGGAATGATGGAAAACTTCTTGATCATGGTAGTGATTACATGCGTATATATATTTATCGAAACTCGAAGTTGAAATGTTCACATCTTATGACCTAGCCAGCTCATTTTTAGGTATAGAGCAATGTTTATCAAACCGCTGGTAGAAACCATTATTAGTGAATCATGACATCAATCTAGTGTGTCTACTCAGAGGGGTATTTACTGTGAAAATAATGAAGCTTAAGCTTCAGGCCCTGTCACTTGCAAAGCTTTTTCCAGAACCTGGTTGCTAATTTCTTATTTATAATTTTGTATTCTTTTTCTAAAGGGCTCCAAAATTATATTAGGCCCCACAAGACCAGGATCTTCCTCTGGATGACTAGATTTTCTTTTTTAATGAAATAGTATAGAAAACATAAGAGTATTTTGTAAAACTTTTGTTTCAGTTTATATAACAGGTCATAAAAATTTATTTCTTACCAAGATTTGTGTTTAAGAAAATAAAAACAGAAAGAAATTTGGAAATTCAGTGCTGTGTAGCAACTTACATGCGCACAAGGAGATGTGTACACATTCAATGCAGAACTGTGTATAAGAGTAAATATTTGGAAATAAATGTCCATCAATATGAGAATTAGTGAGTACACTGCAGTCTATGTATGTTGTGGAATTCTGTGAAGCTAAAATGAACTCAAGGTACATATATCAGTCTAGATGACTCTCATGAACACATTGACTAAAAAAGCAAGTTAAAGAAGGCTATTTGGATAAATTTTAAAACAATTTGAAAAATACAGTACTGTGGTGAATGTCTATGTATTGTTTCTAGATATAGTTACATAGAGAGTAAAAGTATTAAAGTATGCATGAGGCTTGCAAAAAAATGCAGGAGGGGATAGTGGTTACTTGTGGGGAGGAATAAGGAAGGATATGAAGGTACAAACAGGGCTTCGATTTTACATGCAATTTTTGTTTTGAAAGAATGGATTTGGGACAAGGCAGTGTTAACAAGCATAGTTGGTGGATATGTGGACTTCTGCTGTATTCTGATTCTTTTCTGATTGTGTTGTATTCTCTATGCATACTGTAGTAGACACTGGTAAGAAATATTATTTCATATTTGTATTATGTGGGCATTTACATACATCACACCACTTAACCCTCATAATGACCCTATGCAGTAAGTAGGAAAGAAATTATTATCCTCATTCCATAGAAAAGGAATCTAAGACTGCAGACCAATTTATTAAGAACTGGATTTGAGGACTCAGTTGTTCCTTATATAGCCTAGATTTGCATGGCAATCTACTAGAGAAGTTTCCTTCAAGTCCAGGAGGCCAGATCCCAGCCCCTCCCTCCTACCTCAGCTTTGGGAAGGCTCTTACTCAATGGAGGAATGAACTGATGAATAATAACTAAATGCTTGTTCAAAAAGCAGTCATTCCGAAGTACCAGAGAGGACCTCCAAGAATAACTTTGCAAGGAGGCGAATATGAGGGGTTCTCAGGTTCTCTCCTCCTGGCACCGCCCACTGGCTCACTCCAGTGACCTTGGACAAATCACTTAACCTTTCACTACTTACATTTACAATCTGATAACCCGAAAGTGTAAAATTTATGACTGCTCACTCGGGCCTCCTGCCGAATACTTTTTGAAACTCAGGAATCGATTTAAGGTCGACCATAATGCAACAATGTCAACTTTTCAACACATTTCATTCTCAGAGCCCCCAATTTCTCAGACTATTTTCACTCATTTAAGTGGTAATAGCTTAAAATGGGAAAGTGAGTTTATATTTTTTAAAGATTCACATCTTTTATATTTTTACATAAGAATGTCTTTTGTTGTTTAAAAATTAAAGCAACGCCTAACTAGACAGAATAAAAAGTGAGCAATACATGTTCTATTGCCTCTTTTGTTGGTATCGGCTCCTAAAGCTTTTGGAAGCAAGCGGTTTGTTAACAGTAAGGTGTAGAACTTTCAGTCCTGATAACACCTTATGAAAATCCTTTAGGTTCTGGGTATTGGGGTGTGGAAGAAGAAGGGGAAAACGGCTCCAAACCCAGGGAAATCGGGAAAGATAAGCTAGGAACAGGTGCGTCCCAGAGCGCCAGGCTAGTTCTCGACGTTGGCAGAGGGTTGGAGCGGCCGTGGTGTTTCCCTAGGGAGGCTTCTGGCAAAGAACTTGAGCCCCCTTGCGGCCGAACTGTCCACAGAGGCCAGAGGTCCCTTTAAGGCGCCCAGCAGGCAGAGACAGGGGAGCAGGGGGCGGGAGGAGGGTTCCCGAGCGCACGCCACGTGACTCGGCGGCCAAGTTCACTCCCGAGTTTGACAAGTTTGAATCGGACTCGGGGGCTTTCTGCAGCCGGAGGGGCAGCGCAGCGGCCGCGGCCTCGGTGAGCGCGAACAGCAGCGCCCCCGCGACTCACCTCGCCAGCCTGGATCCCCGGCCGCCGCCGGCCGCTAGCGCTCCCCCACTGCTCGCGTCCCTCGCCGCGGGTCAGCAGCCCCTAGCCCCGCCGCGGACCCCACAGCTTCCACGCAAGGGAGTCGAGCGCCCGCGCCGCCCTCCGGCCACGCTGCGCAAGCATGTCCTCGACCGAGAGCTCGAGTCACCCCGCGGACAAGTCGCCGCGCCGGCAGGTACTCCCCTCCGCCCCTGGGGCTCTCTCGCCGCCCCTTCTCCACCTTTATTCCACCCCCTCTCCCGGGTGTGGGTGGGAGGAGGGGGACCAGCGCTTTCCCGGGGTTCCCCACCACCCTTATCCCCGGCGCTCTCTGTCTCAGCAGGTGGACCAACTGCTCGTGGGGCTGCGCTGGCGGCGGCTGGAGGAGCCGCTGGGCTTCATCAAAGTTCTCCAGTGGGTGAGTCGCTGCCCCGGCCGCGGGCTATTTCGGGAGCCTGGGCTGTGACGCTGACCCGAAGCAATGTGGCCAGGGTGGGGGGCGGGAAGGTC